TATATATATATATATATATATATATATATATATATATATATATATATTATCAATCACACCTTTACTAATTTATGAGTAACATTGTCTCCATTCTCACCAGGGAAAGATGACAAACAAATTTCAGTTATCTGTTTCATTCCCCTCCAGCATCATCAGATCCAGCCTCCTGTATTTAATTAGGACTATTGCAGGCCTGGTTTCATTCACAATTTAGCCACCTTTAATTAACGGTTTAAACCTCCACAAAAGGCAAGACAGACACAATTAAATATAATCTTTCCAGCATCTATCACTAATAATGGGAATATTGTACAGCATTCTTCATGTGACCAAAGATGAGCAAGGAAAAAATATATAAACCTTCCAAAAACTAAGTAACAGGAAGAAATGAAAAGACACTAAGGTGAACTAAAATATTCTAAATAATCTCTGCTTCAAGTTACTGTATGTTTCAGGAAGAATACCCAATAACTATCTAGTAATGGTTTATGCAGCTTTATAGATTGTATGGTGGCTAGACAGGAAATGTAATGACTGAAGGACAGGAAGGGGATTTTACACAATAATCTCCTTTTGAATTTTGCCATCTTAATCCACCAGCCTGTTAAAAGAGCAAATAAGATCAGTTTAAGAATTTACAACATTCCTGTGCAGCAGGAGGTTTTCGGCTTTTGGCTCAATATAACATTACAACCTTGGCAACCAAAGCTAAGGGTAAAAAAGCAGAAATAAGAAAACCAGTTGTTCAGAAGTATAGTAAAACTTTAGCAAAACGATTAGGATAAATATCTGTATATGTAATACGTCCTTTGTTTTCAATGTTTTTTAATCTTTAATTACTCTTCTCTTGTGCAGAATCCTTTTGGTTTCATTTTTAGAACAAAGAAAATTCAGTATCTTTTTCGCTGAACTTCCCTGTTTATTGCACAATTGTAAATGTACAAAATTATTGCCATTTCATGTTCAAAATAAACAAATCTTTATCTCCATTTTGAGAATTATGGCTTCAAAGAACATCTTAACAGTTAAAAGAGATTTTTGATTCATTATTATTACTCACTGAGGCACAAACAAAGCTTAAGGTAAATCAAGACAGACAACCAGCCTTGGTTTTTCTGCAGAAATCAGAATACATTCTTCAATTTCTTGTTACTTTCTACTATTTTCCCCATTGATATGTTATCAGTTCTTTAATGTCATTGCAACATCTTTCCAAACCTTATTATTATAGTTTAATAATCACATAAGCAGCTTCTTTGTACAATAAAAATTATACTGAAGCAACTAATGGAGTTTCCAATTGTGACTGATCCTGGACAAAGTGGTCTTTTGTGATCCACTAGGGCCAGATAATTTGATGTTTGCAATATGTAAACAGATTTTGCAAAGTGTCTTCTTATTCTATTTCCACAGTTTTTTAAGCAGCTTTCCTCACAGCCACATATACATAAGTCTTCAATTTCTGACTATTCGATCAGCAACGATTCAAAGTTACGAAGATGCTGAATGAAGGGACTTATCGACCTGAAGTTATAGCCAATGAAGAAAAACAAACAAACACATACACACCATCACAATTGCAATCTGGGCACTTGGCAACCTGTCTGCATTTATGACTAGTTGCTGGGAAGCCAGCAGGGAAGATTGCAAGCTGCTGCTGCCTGCCAAGAGTTCTCCCTCTCATCTCTGGGAATTAGCTGAAAAAACTTTATGCTGAAGCCTAAGCAGGATTTTGCATGGAGCATTTTCAACCATTCCCCTGAGTTGAAAAGACTCCCTCTGCCAAAATTCAAGCAGAATTTTCAGCCAATGAGGATTTTCAGCTTCAGAGACTTCAGAAGACTGAAAATCCAATCAGTTTTGAGGACCTTGTACACTCTCCCCATATCTCCTCGCACCCTATCCCACCAAGCAGAGTCTCGAATTTGCAATCTCCTGCCAGCTTCCTCACTGATTTGATTGTGGGAAGCCAGCAAGAAGTTGCCTCATCTAACAACCAGGGCATTCACTTAACAACGGCAACCAGGACTGCTTGGATTGCTGTTGCTAAGCAAAGTAGTTGCAATTTAAGACTGCATTGCTTAATAATAAGAGTTCCTGGTTCCCATTATAGGTCAATGACTATTTGTATAATTATCATGAAGATCCATGATTGAATACCTGTTCTGACCTTCCTGAGACAGTACAAAGCACAGGCTTAGTCCCAAAAACCCTCTTTTTATTTCAATGGCTGTGAATTATAGTCATTCACATCCCGTAATGAGTCACAAATAGTTTGTAAAGAGTCCGACAGAAGTCTGCCAAAGTCTTTTGGGATAAGGCTGCTAAGCACTCACCTTTATCTCCCTTGAAACAATACTAAAGACCTAACTGCCAATTAGCTTTGCAAGGCCACATGGAGCACGGAGTCAAAACGCAGAACGAACAAAGTTGCTTCCTGCAAAGGCTCATGTGCCTTTGCTCCTCCTTTATGTCTTATGGTAGGGGCCAATCATCTCCAAGCCTTACTCCTGAATTGCCCCTTTTGTCTTAACTGTTCTTCCCTTCTAGCAGCTCTACGCATGCACGTACTGGGAACAGGCTCCCCCTGTTCCTCTGCCTCACTGATGTCCGACTCTGGAGGCTCCGGAGGCAGCACATTTTAAATGCTTTTACTTGTTGTGAGCCGCCCAGAGTCCCTAGGGAGTGGCTGGCATACAAATTCTATTAAAGTTTACAGCACATAACTCCCAGATGGCCCTGGCCCCCTCTCTGCCTCTGACCCAGAGCCCTCATCCGAGCCTAACCCAGACTCCATGACTGGCCTATGTTCCTCCCCAACCTGCTCACTGCCGATTCTGCTGCCAGCTCTGCAGGCCGGCGGCGGATCATAACAATACCATAGAGCCCGGGCTTCCGGTAAAAAATACCTCACAGGATGGGGATAAATGAGAGAGCTATATAGACTGACTTAAGCTCTTTGAGAAAAGAGGAAATATATCTCTAACAAATGAATAATATTCCTAAAAATGTAACTTTCCTCTTCAGGAAATACAGGTAGTCCTCAACTCATGATCACCTATGGAATTTCAGTCATAAATCATTGTGATTATAAGTCAAGGCACCACGTGACTGAACTTGATTTTATGAATCATAAAGCAAGTCACTGTGGCTGTTAACTGAACCATTTGGTTGTTAAGCAAATCCAGAATATCCAATAGGCATTTATTGTCATTTTCTAAACTAGCAAAAAACATTGCAAACCATGGTCACATGCCTGAAGGACATTGATACTGGTCATAAATGTGAGCCAGTTGCCAAGCACTCAAATGTGATAACATGACCATGAAATGGGGCATATGTATATGGCAGTTGTAACTTTGAGGGTGGGTCATAAGTAACTTTTTTGAAGTCCATCATAACTATAATGTACAGTCATTAAACTATCAGCCATAGTTTGAGGACTGCTTGTATATTTTGGCAATCAAAATCCTTATTATGAAGCATTAATTTCAAAAGGAAATGACATGAGGAAAGAAAACTAACTATAGAAAGATAAAAATCCTATTAGAGCTAAAATGTCTTTTAAAATAGCCATGAAAATATAATCATGGATCACATATACTTTAGTCTCTGTTATTTAACTCCAACATCTCAAGCTCTTGTAAACTAGACGATAGATAGATAGATAGATAGATAGATAGATAGATAGATAGATAGATAGATAGATAGATAGATA